TTTTTACGTAGACCTAGAAGGCATCTCTCCTTGCTCTCCTTGCTGTACTGCCTAACCTATCCTCTACTTCATCTTGGGACTCAACAAGTTCTCAGTGAAATCCTATTGCCTCTTTTCCTTGCCTAAGATCATTTGGCTTCCTTTCCACTCCATCCAAATGTCCAGATCCCAGGAGAGCTGACACAAGGCCCCTTCTAGACTGTCCTGCACCATACTGATTGCTGTGGTCCCTGGACACATCACCATGTTCTTTCTTTTAATACTCGGCTTTCTAGATCTTTCTGAAAAGACCATGTTTGAACTCTTTCCTCTGTGATCTACAGACACTATAAACATACCTTTAGTACTCTTAGTTATAACTTGTTTCTTAGCCTGTCTTCCTGACTCAGCCCTCCATCCCATGCTCCACATGTGGAGTGCCCTGATTACAGAATTTGCAATGTAATCAAAATGACTCACTCAATGAATGAATGAAGTATTATGATGGGCAGTGGAATCCCAACAATAGTTGAATCTGGAAATGTTTACATGCATCTTAAATATAAGCCCTACAACTGTTTGGTACTGAGGATAGAACCCAGGGCCTTTGCATGCTAAACATGCACTCTACAGTTCAGCCATACTCCCAGCCCAGCCCCCTTAGATTGCTTTTTCTCTATTCATTTTTTAGATTGTTTTTTTAAATATACTACAATTAATAAATAAAGCATTACATGCTTCTTTCATAAGAATCTCAGCAAATGTTTCTCAAATAGCCACAACTGAAGAGTAGAGAAAATGAGTTCTAATGAATCAAAGTCACAGTGAAGTCTAGACATGATGGAAACATATTCATTTTTTGCTAAAAGTTTTGATTCAATGTGATTTGCACTGACTTGCTATAAAAGTGACACATGCTGGAGAAAACAGGACTTAGCAGCTGATATAATTGCTTCTTTGCTTCTGAAGACCTTTTGTTATCAGGAGAGCAGCTAGAATGTGCTAGAATGAGTCTCATTCCCCCAAACCAAATTTTCTAAGTAGTGGTCACTTCCACAGAGTGGTCCGTGGTTGGAATAACTAGGGCACAAGGCTACAATAAAAATCTAGGACGTGGTGGGCAGGGTGGGGTAGGGGTGGGCAGGAGTCACATAAAAACCATCCTTACTGAGTGTCATTGGAATTCACTCTTCACTAGGCCAAAAATGTGCAATCTGACCAAAACCCTTCCCCTAGCTCTACCTCCCAAGCCACATGCCTTCTGAAGGCCAAGGGCAAAGCCAGCTGTGGTTATGCATTTGGGTTAAAGAGCCCAAAAACAGAAAAAAAAAATATGATTTTGAAATGCATTACACTTCAAAATTACGGGTAATTGTGTGTAGCAGCCTGGAAAATATAGCTCAGGCAGTGCTGCTCAGTACTGAACCCCAGAGCCCAAAACACTGGCACTCTGAATGCAATTTCAAACTGAAAATAAAAAGGTACAAAGGGCGGAAGGAAGGGTGGAGGGTTGCTATAGAGCTGTGACTTTTAAGAAGGCTGCTGCCTTGGGGAGACATGGCTAAGATATGCCCAGCAAAGGCTCTATCTGGCTTAAACCACTAGATGCTGCTCTGGACCACAGCAGCCAGCCCGAGAAAGTAAACAAAAGATGGGCATGGGATTACACAAGCAGACAATGTGGCAAGATTAGGACAGAAATCCAACGGGCAGAGTGGAAAAGGACTTCACATCAGCCAAGGTTTCTCCCGAACCTTCCGTGTCCTGGTCTCACTAAGGAGTATCGATACCCATTACCATCCACTCCTTAACTCCCTGCTGAACAGACATGTCTTTACCTGGGACCAGGGCTCAAAATGAGCCACACTGAGGTCATTACCCACCTTCCTCCATTTATTTGTCTTAATCCCATTATAGAAAGGTCACAGCTCATGTCAAAATTCAAAACCTTGTTAGGAAACTTGAGATACAAACTCACCAGTTGTTTTCTTCCACCACGGGGTCCCAGGAAGAAACACGTGAAAGTCAAACTTGCAAACCATTTGGGTTAAGAGGACAATTGCAATTTAGGAGTGAAGGAAGCTAAGGAGGAAACCTGAAGAGCCCAGGGAAAATAAACACAAGGGCTGTAGAGCCCTTGTGAGTCCCCAACTGTCAATGTATGGCCCTAGACTCTAAAGAATACCAGTAAACAGAAAACTTAACAGCTGCTGTGGAGAGTCTAGATGGTCTGATAACACACAATTGTTCTAACTTCTTCAAGCAAACAAAAGCAGTGGTTCTGGGGAAAGGGGAGGTCCCAGAAGGACAATCTGTGAATGTTTGGTTGTCACAACCAGAGTGATGCTACTGGCATCTACTGAATGCAGACCAGGGCTGACTTTCTACAATGCACAGGACAGACCCACAACAAATTATTATCTAGCTTGAAATGTCAACTGCATTGAGACCAAGACCACCCTGAAGTAAGAGACCAATAAAAAGAACAGTCTTCTGCAAGTAGAAAAGAAGATTACCAGAAACCTGAGCATCACTTAAGTTGAATGCCAACCTGCTCGCAGACTCTGCTCTCCACTCCCTGAGTTGGTACTAATCCATAAGCAGAAGTAGCAGAAGCTATGAGAAACTGGAAAGCACTCTGGTTCTCTCCCATTCGGTTCCATGCTTTTGCCTTCACTATGACTCATCCACAGAGAAAAAAGTGATGGCTAAAGAATATGTGTCCGTTCTCTTTGGCAAACCCTGCTCTCATTTTCGATTACTAAATTGCATTCTATCACGAGCCTGGTGGATGGGCATACTGCAGCCAAGAGAAGGAGCCAATGATTCACGGCTAAGGTCATCTTGAGAATGAGATATCCAAAACTCCACCTCACTGTTAACAGAGACAGCCCTGGATACCATGGCAACCCAGGACATAGCCATCTGAACCAAGGGCATCTCTTTTGTTATCATTGTTTTTATTTTTATTGTGCTGGAGACTGAACTCAATACCTCATGCATGCTAACACATGCTGTACCACTGAATAACACCCTCACTAGGCCAAGGGCGTTTTTTTAAGATGGGGTCTGGGTATACTGCCCATGCTGATGACAACCTCTAGATCCTAGTGCCACAGCCTCTGAGTAGCTGGACTTACAGGCATCCACAACACCTCTTGTTAAACCAGGGGCATCTCTAACAGCTTACAGGAGGAAATATCTTCCCCCTTGCCATGCAGCAGAATTTGACATGTACGTCCTTGGTCTCAGAGGCTGGCTAGTCCAGGAGAGCAGTCAACCAGCACAGCATCATGGTGCAGAAGAAAGAAAGAGCAGCAGAAAAACGATCAGCAAAGTTTTTAAGGGCTTAGATCCACATAAATACCTGTGAGATACTTCATTCCTCCAACACACCTATAAAATGGAATTAATACTTGATGATTCTTCCCCAACATTTCCAAACCAGCATCCCCTGAGAATCAGGAGGTTAGCCATGAAGGGAGAGTTACCTTGATCCTACAACTCTAACTCTACCCAAGGCGGAATGCTTACCAAGTGCTTACCTTTACCGTCCCTCCCTCAAACCACTGCTCCTTACCAGAAAGACACCCCCTACACCCAACACAGGGCAGTCCTGGAGTGAGCAAGTAGTGAGTTTCTAGCGTTTTCTACTGAGGAAAGTTTTGTTCCCTACATTAACCGTTAGAACTAAAATAGTCCCAACGGTAGTCGCAATTCCTAAAATTGAGGTTCCAATAATACTATTCCTCTGATTCTGGAAAACAGTGTTTGTGGGGGCCCAGAAAGCATGTCCTTCTATTTATACATGTGACTAACTTCTCCACTCAGCACTATGTCAGGTTGTGCTGTGGTTAATTCTGTTTGGTGAGCTAGCATCTCTTCGCCCACACGATTCCTAAGTCATGCTTAACTGTTAACCTAGTTTTAGGCCAGTGACAAAAGTCTGCTCAAATTGCGTCTGCACTTATTTTGTGAAAGGTTGGTAAACATATTGTTAAAGCACAGTAGTTAATTAAATCACAGATCAAGATGTGGCTTTGCAGACTTCAGTTCTGGTTAAGTTGCGATTGTTAACACTCAGACAACCCGTGTGTGCATGATGCACGCAGACTGGCTTTGCTAAACTGCAAACACTGTGCTGGCACATTGGAAGGCTTTCCAGGGCCATACACACATCACAGGAACCACCTTGTCTGGATAGCTGGCCTTCTTGATCCTTCTGGTTTGGGACAGTACTGAAGTTCTCAGTCTTCAGCTTTCGTCTTTGGAGAGTCAGTCTCAAGCCTAGATCAGCTGAAATGCTTAATCTAATCATGTATCACAGCAGTGTGACGGCCACCAGAAGAGATTGACTGTCTCTGCAAAAATCTGAAAGTAATTAAAATTGCCCATATGGTGAATGAGAGGCATAAAATATGAAAAGAAAGGTTCAGCAAAGGAAATTTCCAAAGAACTCGAAAGCACTACACTAGCACTTGGTGAGAAAAAAGAATATGCCTTCAGTTTCCTTCTAAGTGTGGTGTAGGAGCTACTGCCTGTCAGTATCACCACAGTGAAAATCGTGTCACTTGGGTGTCCGTCCCTGCAAGATGGCAGCATCTGGTCTTAGCACACTGTTAAGTTCCATAAACAGTAGCATCTTGAAAAGTTAAGTCAATGGCAGACAATGGCTGACTACCACTGCTTCTGGTTTAACATATGGAAATGCAGCAGAGTAAACCAACAGCCTTTTGTCAAGGGGAAACAGCAAAGTATTTCCTAAGTATGACCCTCCAAACCATTTTCATCAGACTTTCTGGCAAGTTGGTTACCAACACAGATTCCTAGAACCTCCAGAATTAGGAAAACAGACTTCAAAAAAAAAAAAAAAATCGCAACCCATACTAAGCCATGCATTCTATGGCAGTTTTGTGAAACGCTATTTTCCTGTCTGCTTTCTTCTCTTTCATGTTTTAAATGGCTGGTCTGGTACCATGGTGTCCTCGTGGGTCACAACCTTAAGCATAAAAAGCACTCACCTCCCAGACCAGAAAGAAGAACTGAAGTTGCACAACTGGCAGCAAACGCTTCAGGCTTTGTGAGGCAGACAGGTTTACTCTTCCCCTGCCTTGTCCAAATTCAACAGGATGTCTTCTAAACCAAGCTATCAACTTGGAAGGCTGAGGGCATTAAAAAGTGGTTGCAGGCTTCAGTTACAAACCTTAATGGATGCACTGTCTCAGATCAGGATGGGAAATCTTCCCACCACATAGGAACTGCCACCTCTATACCTTCACAGGGAGGCAAGTGTGCTCAGGGCAGCTCCTTGCCATGCCCCCAGCCACATCCTCTGAGCTAGGACTTCAAAGCCCTCCCTTCCTGCACCTCGCCCCACCCACTCTCAACAAACACCTCAAGGGGGTAAATTACTTGAAAACACTTAAGCCTGGTTTACCCTCAGTCCTATAATTTCAAAAATGTTTATGACTTAGCTGCACTGGTAGAAGCCCCTCATCTGCCTTCTCCCTTTCGTTTTGCTCCCCCTGGACATTGCTCATCTCTCTTCTTCCCTGTATCTGCCACCCAGCCTGATCTCCTGCCTCCAGCTCCCACCTCTTGACAGCCTCCACTCCTAGCCTTTACTTCTATCTCTGAGAGACAGAAATGGACACAGTGGATAGATGTCTCTGCTTACAATAATGGCCTTCTCCCACGGGAATATGTGACTAAAACAACACAGGCTTTGAAGTCTTTCTCCAAGGGTTGGGGTGCAATACCAGACCACAGTGGTTATGTGTTTTTAATGAAGTATACCGGTTTTCTCCTCTCCCAAGGAGTCACCTTCCTGACCCTTTCTTCTACTCAAGCCTGAAGTGTGTGTGTGGTGGAGGAGAGGGCTGGCTTCTCACTTGCAGTATTTTATTTTCTTACTGTATTTCCCTGGTGGAAATACCAAGAAATACCAGGATGAGCACTTCTCATTCAACCATCAAACTTTTACTGAGCACCTACTACTTACTAACAATTGATTTACGTTCTGGAACTGTAAACAAGATAAGGTCACTGGACTTCTGGAACTTCCATTCTAATGGAAGAAAGACAGTAATCAAGTAAGCATGGGAACATATAATACCAGGGGATAAAAATGTACTAAGAGAAAAAAGGAGGTAACATAAGAGGACCAGGGAAGGCCTGACTGCTATTTTATACGGAGTAGTCAGAGAAGGTCTGACAAGCTGACAACTGGGTGGGAAGATCTAAAGGAAGCAAGAGAATGTACCACCTAGGCATATTGGGGGGGGGAGGTGTAAGAACAGCATGTGCAAAGGTCCTGGGGAGTAGACAAGAAAAATGTAAGGGAGTCAGAATGGCTGCACTTAACAAGGACAGTGAGTGTCCTTGTGTTGTGGGAGACATGGCCATCCATAATTAGGACCATCCATCCTGTGGCTTTATTGACTGCTGAGAGTCCAGAGTTTCCCAAGACTCATGTCAGGGCTTGCAGGGGATTGACAACTACCCAGCTTCCTGTTCCCCAGTTCCCTTCCTCTTCATACTTCCCCCTCACCCCTTGGAGTCTCAGAACTCAGCAAATTTTTTCACAAGTTACAAGTCCATCTAATTTAGCAACAACAAAAACTGAATCGCAAGTGTAGTGAGAAAGAAGGCCACTTGTGCATTTATCCACAGCCTTCAGGTAGGAAGTGTACCATTGTAAGAGCAGAGGGTCAAAAGGCTAGCCATAAAAAAATTAAAAGGAAAAGAAAATTAAGTCTGTTCCATGTCTGCAGAGAATCTGGCCTTCTAATTTACCAGGATCCCCAGTTCTGTAAATCTGGGGACGATAATCCTTGAAACAACCTTGGGAAGCTGGTATGGAGGTGAGATAACATGAAACGGGTGACCCCAGCCCTTATCAACAGCTGTGCAGGTAGCCTTTGCAGTCTCAAGGTGCATGGCCTTGCTGGTCCCTCTAGTTCTCAAGCTGCTCTCAAAGAGTAAGTATTTAATTATTTTATTTTATAGAAGTCTTAAAAAAAAAATAAAAACATTCTTCCTCAGTCCCCACCCCCAAGTCTCTGGCAGCGCCACACAGGAGACTTTGCCTGCGGGAGCCACAAACCCCAGTCTTAGGTTGTCTGAGATCCTAACCATGATGAATCAGATCCACATCAGCCCATGGTCGGTGCTCACTGCGCCGCGGGAGCTGTCCAGAGGCCCCGGAGCTGTCCCTGCGGGGGGCCAAGCCCTGCAGAGGTTGTTGGTCCGGCCACCAACAACCTCTGCCCCAGCTGCGAACTTCGAACCGCCCCCTGGCGGAAAGAGAGACAGTGGGAGGGGAGCCCCGGACCGCAGACCCCCGCGGCCACACGTGCACGAGGACACACACGCGCACGGGGACACACACGGACACACGTACACACACGGACACACGCCGCCTCGCGCACGCCCGCGGCACAGCACGGACTCCCCAACCCCAAGCACAGCCCGGCCGGAGGAGTTCTGTATTTCCTCTTCCTCAAAGCCAATCTCGGGCCACCGCGGCCGCCCTCTCCGCTCGGGTCCTCGACCCCGACGCTCCACCGCCCCCTTCTCTCGGGCGCGCCTGATGCGTCCACACTCTTCGCCCCACAGGATGGCCATCGAAGCCCTCCGCCGCCGGTCTCGGTCCCTGCGGGGACCTTCGCGTGTCCCCAGGCGGCGGGGGATTTGCTAACAACCGTCCCCAGGGATCCCGCGCCCCTCAGAGCCCCTCACACCGGAGCGGCTCGCGGTGAGGGGGTTGCGGGGAAGGATCCCCTCTCTCGGCCATGGCCGGAGACAAACCTGATCCGAGCACCTCGGGAGCAGCTTCCCGGGGCCACAGGGATCTTGATTCCAAGGTCCCAACCCCACACTCCTCCTCGGTCTCAGCACCCCTGCGCCAGTGGCGCAGCGCTCCGGCGCCCCCCTCCAGCCGACCCCGGTCCCCATGTCGCCTTGGGCTGCGGGTCGCTGGCCCAGCGCTCCATCCCCCGGCTCAGCAGCCCCGCGCCCCCTCTCTCTCTCTGCCCCTACACTTCCCCAACTGCAGAGCGCCCCAACGCGCCCGCAGCACGCACCCCGCCCGAGCTGCGCGCCCCCGGGGAGGAAACAAAAGTCTCTCAGCGGCGCCCGGAGTCCCTCTCCCCACCCCGGCCCTGCCCGGCCCCAGCCCCCTCCCCGGCCGCGCTGAGGTCAGCGACTCCGGGCGCAGCGCCAGCCCAGGAAACTTTACGAACCTGCCCGGGGTCTCAGGACAGCGGCGGAGGCGAGGGTTCCCGGCAATCAGAGCCCTGGAGACCCGCAAGCAATGAGGGGGGGTGGGTCCCGAGGCTCTGTCGCCCAGCTCCCGTCCGCGGCCGTGTGGGTGGCTCTGCCTCTATCCCGTGCCCATCCTCGCCCGCTTGCGCTCACCCGAACACACGCACTTACACTCGGGTCTGCTGGCTGCTGTGCCGCCGGCTGCCGCTGCTCTCACTTCCTCTTCCTTCCTCCTGCTGGCCAGAGACACATTTTGCATCTGCAAGGCATCCCGAGATCAGCGGCGAACTCTGCTCTGGAGCCGGCGCTGCGGAGTTGCTACCACCACCACCGCCGCCGCCGCCGCCGCCGCCCCAGGCACCTGCGCCGGGACACGCGTGGTTGGCGCCTTCGCCTCCCGCCCTCGTGCTGCCGTCGGCCCTTTGCCTACCCGGGAGTGCCCACGACTTTTTGAAGTCCCTCTACTTAAAAAGAGGGAAATGTCACACACACTGCACGCCTCAGAGCTGCTATAAATAATGTGTGCAGAGCATGACTTCTTTGATGAGCTCACACACAGCGTTTTGCAGGCACTAATTACCTCCGTCACCCCCCTAGCACTACCTCCGAGAGGCCAAGAGCGCGTGGCATCTTTTCATAAGCTTTCATTTTTTGGCAACGCATTTGGGATTTTAAGAGAAAACTTCGGTGGGCTGTTTTAAAGCTACCTGAAGAGGCTGGTGTGTTTGTTTTGACTCTGGGCCTTTGGCCTTGGGCAGCAGCATAACAAAATTAACACAACTTTTCTTCCTCCTCCATAGTCACCTATGTATTTTCTGTAATTGGAACTACAGGATTTCTTTCAATTAAGTCAGGGACTCCCGATTTTTGCATAGCTTTGCCTAAAGCAACATGTTCTGCCCCGAATTTGGTATTTAGGATAGCTTTTTTAATTCATGCAACCTGCTTCAGTTATTTTCAAAGCAGAAATCAAACACAGTTACTCCCAACCTAGCTGGCAGGAGGGAAATGACAGTTGTTGGAAGGTTCAGAAGAAACACCTGGCCTCTCCAAATTCAGAAATCTCTGTGTTGCTCTACTGGAAAAGGCAAAGATAGTTGCCATGCATTCCCTCCAAACTGGCAAAGGAGGCAAATTGGGGCCTGGGAGGCATCAGAATCCAAAGTGGAAGGCGAAGTTCCCTTTAAAATTCAACAACTTCCACCAGGTTTAAATTTTAACCCTGTGGTCACTGGTCATTAGCAACCAAAAGACACAAGCCACTGTTAAACACTTGAAATGGGACTAGTGTTCTGTGGGCGTAAAATAGGATTTAGTAGGAAAAATGTTACGTAAGCTAATTATTTTTATATTGATTATACTATTTCCATAACTAATAATACTATAGTTTGGGTATAATCTGTCAACTGGGTTAATATATCAGGTTAAGACATAAATACAGGGCTGGTGAAGTGGCTTAGGCAGTAGAGCGCCTGCCTAGCAACTGTAAGGCCTTGAGTTCAAACTCCAGTACCTCCCCCGAAAAAGATACATATAGATATAGATATATGTATATATGTGTATATATCTATAAAATGAAAATTAACTTCATCAGTTTCTCTTTGAACATTTTAATGTGGTCACTGGGAAATGTAATTTGACTCTTGTGGCTCTCATCAGTAGCTCACATGACATTTCTTATTTCAGGATTAACTCAGGGAGACAGTATTAGAAGAAGGAATGTTGCATTCAGTAACTTAAAGCAGGGTGATTCCAGTAAAGGACAGTAACAGAACTGCTCTATTTCCTCATCTGTAAAACAGTAATGGTGTAATAATAATAGTCAACAGGGTAACTATGAAGCAAGGTCATTTAATAAGAAATCAGTAAGTAGAGGCTTTACTAACGATGCAATAAGAGGCTGTAGTAATAAGTACAAGTTTGATCTTCAACTTTCTAGCTAAGACTTACGGAGACCTCGACTTTAGTGCAGGCATTGTGAGCACTCGGAATGTGTGAGAAGTCATGATTGTCTCCTCCTTACACAGCAATCAGGCAAATCCACTTCCCTGTAACCTGTGGTCCCAGCTCTGCCCCCTGCAG